TTGTTGTACTAACTTTGAGCATAAATTGTGAGAAAAAATAAATTTAATTATAACCTAAATTTAATATAATTGAGTTCATCTTAAGATGTAGTTTTGATATATCAAATTTTATAACTTTTATTTATTTAAAATTATATTTGATTTGTGGTCAAAATTGACATAAAAGTCAAAGTGTGACAATTATGAATTCGAATGTAAAAATAGATATTAAATAAGATTTGTTTTTATTTGATTGGTATTCAAAATAATAATTAACAAATTCTAACCCTATGTTTGATTCACATTTAGGGGCTGTTTGGCAACTTCTAAATAGGTAAGTGCTGAACCAGTAAGAGGTCTGAACCATTAAGTGCAGAACGAGTAAGAGGTCTGAACCATTAAGAGCTAGTATATTGCTTAACTATTCAGAGGCAAATGTCTGATCAATTCAAATAAGAGGTCTTAACCATTCAGACTCTGTATAATACTTAACCATTCAGAGGCAAATGTTTGAACCATTCCGACATCTGAACCATTAAGAGACTGAAACAAACAGCCCCTTAGTATGTTTGTTATGCTTGATTCACATTTAGTATGTTTGTTTAGGGAGGAAAGAAAAAGAAAATGATAGAAAAAAATGCACTAAAAAGAAGGGAAATAACTTTTCTACCATTTGGTGAGTACAGTGTCTTGACTCGTTTTTTTTTTGCTGCAGGTGAAGGAAATTGGAGTACATAAAAGTAGCTAAAGAAAACTCACACAACATATTGCAGGGGAATGCTCTCAAGTTTATGCCATCGTATAAAAAATAATCACAAAACAATGTATTTCAGAGGAACTACTCCATCAAGGAAACTCATTTCCCACAATTTATGTGTTTTTTTCCATAAATTAAATCGAGTGATACCTTCTTCTTTTAATCCCTTTACCTTCGGGAAGAAGCCTACGTTCTGGAAAGCAGCACTTCAGAGGTATGGCACACCGAGCACAACGCCGTTGATCACACCTCAAGTGCACCTTAATACCAGAGCCCTTTTGGCGAAGAATCTCATCTTCATTCCACTCCACAGATTTTGATAACCCACACAAACCAATCATTCTGCAGTTGGAAACACAAGCTATGGCGGGTGTCCAACAACTCCAATTCTTTGTGGCCGTCTAATATTATTGACAAGGCATTCACTGATAAAGCACATGAGATGAGCCTCAATTGCTTCAGTTGATGGCATTTGTCACGCACTGCTATCGCTGCATCATCATCCACAACGCCGAATAGCCGCAGACTCTTAACCCTTCTAAAGTTGCGTGGGTACAGTCTGATCAACCATACAGGACACTGTACTCGCCTCAACTTCTTCCAATGTCTAAAAGCAGCTTCAATAAACGCAAATTCCTTACCCACTGAACAGGGTATAACCAACTTCCGCAAGGAGAGTGTCCTGAGATAAAGTGCATACGCAAAATTTATATAGTAGTAGAAGGGACAGAGGGACAGATAGAATTTGACACCTAAACTTGAAATAAAGTTGCATGCTGGATGCTACATTTTGAAAAATAATCCCCATATTTACTTACTCTGCCATCTAAAAAATAAAAAAACATGAGAATTGCGGAGAAACAAGAAATGATCTCCTTTGAAGGAGTATCAGTTATCTATCATAGAGGTCAGCTTGCGCATCCATGAGAATTATACTTCTATCTTCAAGAATCCACTCCCAAGTTATATTTTTAATAACCCCCTAATTTAGCCATGCACTCCAAAGCATCAAAGGGAAGTCCCTACAGGTGGAGTCTATGTCCAATCTCCATGATGTTATCATGTACCTGTCATTCTATAGAACCAAAATACAAGAAAGAAAAAACATTTACCTTTTAGCAATATAAGCATACTGGTGTGAGAGAAGCAAGTTGTCACCAAGAATCAACGAAGACCAAGAGTCAGCAGGCTTAATATCAAGCATGTGCTTCAAAAAACGAAAATATCTATTATGTAAATGCTGTTCGAGCTCAGGGGAATCCAAGATCTTGAGATTGATCACGCCAGGGTTTGACAATGAGTCTAATACTGCTGACAACCACGACTTGCTCACCAAACACACCACATATAGCCTATAATACCAGGGCACTCTCTTTATTATATCCAACAATACATCATAATTTAAGTCATCCCAGCTCCGTAATGTTGTGGACCTCGTTTCTGTCTTAGGTGCGAATCTAGAAATTCTGGCCGAATTCAACTGCGTCATAATCCTGACAACACTGACAAACAAAGAGCCAATCAGATAAAGTTTGGAAATTTCTTTATTAGGTTGTTTCAAGTTTCAACAGTCTGAAATCAGCACTGCAATTATCACATCAAACCCAACCACAAAAGGGCAGATTTCTCCATGAAAACTCACATAGACTCTCTGGTAACACTTTCTGGTTTCTACAACACATCCTGAAGTCCTGAACTAGAGATGATTGCATATTTGCTTTGGTCAAACTTCAAAGCCATCAGATGCATACCATTATAACTCACACGGTATTTCTTAGAACTACCACAAAAAAGGTTCTTTCACAATTTATAAACACTACAAAATCACAAAACAGTAGGCGTGAACCCTCCAGTCCATACACTCTAGTTCAAAGATAAAGCAGCCCAAAACCAGCAACACCGCAAAAGAATGACATACCAACCATCACACAAAGAACAAGGGACCACAATGTATCACATTTATAACAATAGGCACAGTGGACAACAACAACAACAACAACAAACCCAGTAAAATTCCACAAGCACAGTGGACAACAGTTAAAAAAAATAACTTCCTAAAGCAAATATATTATACAACACCTAGCTAACATTAGCATCAAATGGATATTGGGGGCACGATCCAAGAGGTAGCAATATCCAATCACTAAGATCCACTACAAACACTCAAAACCAATGTGTTTAATGCAATACCCATTAACAGCAATAACCAATCATTAGAAATATCTGACTGCGGAAATGCACTAATAAGAATGTTCTGTATGCAAAACTCATTAAGGGCAACACCTAGGAGTTAGCAATGTTTATTCCTTAAGATGTAGTATAGACATGTAGTTAAGATGGACTATACCATTAATTCTGAACATAATCGTGAAATTAAATTTGATAACATTATTTCATTTAGATTTTTAATTTCAGAATTATGAGTGTCAAATTGTTTTTCCATCATCTCCGATGGAGCCAAAATTTCACCATTTTTTTGGCTTTGGGGTGTGATGGAATAAATCAAAATGGANCTCTTGTGGGATTTAATTGGGTTGTTGTTGTTGTTGTTTGTAATTATGAGTGTCAAATTGAATAATACTATCAAAAAGAAAAATTTGTTCATCCTGAATTGAGAACAAATCATGTAGAAATAATAAAAACAAATAGATAATAATTAGAAAAACTAACTAGAAGAAAAAACTTACCTAAAGGGAGAGACAAAAGACAAGACGAATTCAGATTAGCTAACGAGAAGAAAAACTAATAAGACGGATCCAGATCTTCAAGAACCCGTTGCCCCTCTTCTTAATCTCTTCGCAGACTCGCTTTTGCTGTTGATTCAGGGAAATCCCCCTCGCCACTGTATTCAGCCCATCAAAACTCCTCTAGTTCTTAATCAAGAGTGAGACCGGAAAGAAGAAAAATCATAGATTAGCTGGGTTTGTTAAAAATTGAATATTCTTAATCAAATATTCCGTTAGATTAGCTCTTTTTCCGTTTGTTTTCTCCGTTTATTTTTCTTCCAACCTACGTACACGGATGCTATTGGTCGTTTTTGCCGCCCACCGCCCCACTACATCACTTTCTTCCCAGTTCTGATTTTAATTCGCTCTTCTCGCTCATCCTGCGTGGTTTTCCTCTTCAATTTCCAGGTAATTCACAGAATCTCCCTCCTCCATAATCTTCATATTCATAAGCTGCGCAAATCTTCAATTCTTTACTTCCAATTTCAGATTCTTCAAATTTACAGGTTTTTGTTGCTGAAAAAAGGAAACCTAAATTTTAATTCAGTCCATTTCAAAATTCACCCAAATTTTAATACACTTATTCAATTTTTAAGGGTTCAAATTCACAGTTTTTTGTGTTCAAAAATTTTCGGAATATTTGGGGATCCACTGAAACTGCAGCCAATTCATCCTCTTCCAGAAGTTCAAGGGTTTTATAATTCGCTCCATTCGGAAATTCACCCTTTTTTAATACACTTATTCAACTTTTAAGACTTCAAATTCCTAGCTTTCTGTGTCAATAAATTTTGGGATTATTAAAATTTTTTAGAGGTCAAATTCACTGCTATGTGTGTTAGAAAATTTAGGAATCCGCTGGAACTCCACCCACTTTACAGCTTTCTATGTTAATAAATTTTGGGATTATTGTTGTAGTTCTTTTGTTTTCTCCCAATTTTCAAGAACTAAACATTGTGTTGGTAGACCTTCAGTATATCTCATTTCTGTTTCATCTTCCTTTATTTTGTTGTTTCATTTTTAGTGTGTTTACTGCATGCCCTCATTTATTTTTCTAAATAACTTAAATGGAATCCCTTACTCTTGTTACTGGTATGAAGATATATATTGCCCATCTATTTCTTGCTTATTTGACCTACTGTCAAGGAGGGCCTACCTTCTCATTACATGAATTAAGAATGCAAAAGCACTCAAAACACTCTAAGATGAACTTATAGAATAATCAAATGTTAGGGCTATTCACCTTCAGTTTATTGTTTTCTTAAATGACATTTCAGCAAGTTGTGTGCCATCCTGTGTGTTTTTTATCATCTGATGCCTCCGATGAGGAGCATTTGAATTCGAACCATTTTTGTGAAAGGGATGAAGATGAAGGGCACTCTTGGCCGGCTTCTCCTTTCTTGCATCCAGATTTGCCAATGGGAACTCAGGGGCCTTACGTTGTAATGAATCAAGAGGCCCCTCCACATGGGATTTTGGGATCCTTTCTATACCTTCAATGCCCAACCCAATTCATAGTTTTGGGCCTATAATGGCGGTAATTCCGATACACATGCTTATTACATGAAGAGACATACCCCTGAGATGAAAACTGTAATTCGCCAGACTGGAGCTGCCTGATTCGATTGGATATTCCAATGAGTATTGGAGCTCCCATTATCAGAATGGAGAGGATTTCTTTGGATATCCGCCTCTAGGTCCATCTGAGAGAATAGGAACCAGGCTAAGAAGCCCAGCCCTCCAGAGGATGTCCCACCACCTCCTTCTTCAACGACCTCCGTTTGGGACTTCCTGAATCCGTTTGATGGAATTGACCAAGGGATCTCGAGTTACATGGGTTATGGAAGCCATGCATATGGGTCAGCTAATTGTAGCCCGGATTCGGCTGAAGTGAGGACGAGGGAGGGGATTCCTGATTTGGAGGATGAAACAGAAATCGAGATGCACGTGGATGAACCTATGGTGAAGAAGATGAGAAGTGATTTCAAGAAAAAGAGGGCAGGAGAGGGGACTTCAGGTACCCGTGGAAAGTCCTTGCAAAGGCGCAGCACTGGGGTAGAGCAATCAATGAAAAGAATGTCTCGTAGGAAACCAACTGTGTCATCCAAATACGCGGAAGAATACCTTGCTAAAAAGCCAATGCCCACTAAATCTGGTAAGGGTTCTCTGGTTTCAAGAGGATCACCATCACAAAACAGTTCTGGCAGCAGCCCCAAACCACATTCATCAGGAAATGAAGAGTGCTCTATCTGTGATGGTACAGGTTCAACCAATGTATCAGAGGAGAAGGCCAGTTCTGACACCATTGTATCAAAGAGTCCCTGAGATATGGAAATGTTAACACAAAAGGAGTGACTTTTGAGGTAGATCGTGAATTTGTATCTTCAAAGTTAAGTAATTTGGATAATACTGCTTCACGAGGAACAAGAGATCTTCGAGAGGTTGTGGCTGAAATCAGAGATGGATTTGAGATTGCTTCAAGTTGTGGGAGGGACATAGATTTGATGCTTGAGGTTGGAAAGCTGCCTTACCACCCTACATTCATTCGAGGTACAATATCCTGTGTATGCGTCTTATTCTAGAGCTTCCTTGTCGCTGCTGCTGTGGAATTAATCTCTCACTTCAAACGTTTTTTTTGAACCGAAAGCAAATATATTTCATCACCAAAGTTCACCACACAATACAAAGACAATAATCTCCCAACCTACTCCTAAAACGACATATTATGGAACATCACAAAAACAGATAACACCTAAACTTTCTTCCCTTCCAAATAAACTCCCACTTGATATACTATCTCCCTAAAAACCTCCTCTTCTATTTTATGTTTCCCTTGAACATTTTTTTGATTTCGGGCCTTCCAAATCGCATAAGCAGTAGCTGCAAAAATAGAGATAATCTTCCTTCTTTTCTTCACTGGATGTATCCTCAAGCATCCCCTCATCAAGTCTATAAGTTTTTGGCCAGCAAAATTATAATTACACCATGGCAAGAGTTTGCAGTAGATTGCCTTAGTATATTCACAGCTGCAAAGTAGGTGTTGGACATCCTCCTGGCCTTTCATACATAGTTGGCATAAAGTGTCAATAGATAAGAATCTGGCCATCATGCATTTAGTTTGAAGTTTTCCCCTGCATATCAACCATAAGATGAATTTGTGCTTTGGTATTGTAAATTTATTCCACACCAACTCAACCCAGTCTGCCTTTTGTTTCTCTCCCAACAACCAAGTGTATCATGCATTTGGGTTATAGGCAGTAATAGAACCCATCTTAGCAAAACAGTCTCTCACCTAGATCAGTTTCTTCCAATAAAAGAAGCTATCATTTCTACTATGATGATCCCAAATACTGCCCTTCTTCAGATATTTTATATGTACCCATTTGATCCAAAGGGCATCCTTCTTCAATGAAATATCCCAGATCAGTTTCATGATATTCGCCTTATTCCACAAAACCAGGTTTTTGAATATATCCAAGCCCCCCGTATTTTCTGGGCATATAGATGTCCTCCCAGGCTACCAGAGGAATTCTTTTCCTTTCTTGGGTAGAGCCCCAAAGGAAATTTCTGCAAAGGGCTTGAACCTGCTTCATCACCTTAGTAGGAATTACAAATAGTCTACACCAAAAACCAATAATACCATATAACACAGAGTTGATCAGTTTGCATTTGCCTGCGTAAGAGAGGTTCTTTGAAGTCCAGGCAGTGATCTTAGTTGTCATTTTCTCAATAAGCCTTTCACAATCCTTAGCACTGATTCTAGATGAGGTAATAGGACCCCCCAAATATGTGAATGGCAGTTGTCCTTTCCTCACCTTGGTTAACTGCAGTAGCTCGATTTCCTCCTGAGGTTTGATTCCTCCAAAGATAATTTCAGATTTCCCCTGATTGATATTGAGTCCAGTGGTATCCCTGAAATGTTGCAAAGCTCTCATAATACAGGTGATGGATTTTATATCTGCTTTACAGGCTACTATAAGATCATCAGCAAAGATAATATTGATGAGTTTTAGAGACTTGCACATTGGATGATAACCAAAATGCTCTTTAGATGCAAACCACAGAAAAGCTCTTGACAAGTATTCCATAATGATGACAAACAGTAGAGGAGAAATTGGATCTCCTTGTCTAATGCCCTTACCCCCTCTGAAATAACCAAAATTCTCTCCAGCAAAATGTATTGAATACGAGGTAGTAGTCACACAGTATTTTATCCAGTTAATAAAATTTGAAGGGAACTTCAACAAGGTGAGGATCTGGATGATGGCCTTGCAGCTCATATTGTCATATGCTTTTTGTAAATCCAGTTTCATTAAGCACCTGGGAGAGATGTTCTTTCGATTGTATCCTCTTGCAAGTTCTTGACAGAGAAGAACATTGTGTACCAACTCTCTTCCTTCCACAAAGGCTCCCTGGTTCAAATTGATGATACTAGGCAAGACCTTTTTAAGTCTATTGCAGATGATCTTAGCTATAACTTTATATATGACATTACAACAAGCTATTGGCCTAAGATCAGTAGGGCTTTTGGGATCTTCACATTTGGGAATGACCACAAGGTTTGTAGCATTGATTTGTTTGATAGTGTCCTCCTTTATAAAAAATTCTTGAATAGCTTGGGTAACCAGGCCCCCCACTTTCCTCCACTGGCTTTTAAAGAATCCTCTGCTGAATCCATCAGGACCTGGACTCTTATTATTGGGAATTTCAAACATGCACTTCTTAATTTCTTCAGTTGTAATAGGGGAAATTATCTCCAATTGTTGTCTAATTGTCAAGCAGTCTCCCATTCTGATAATCTCTCCATTAATATCTTCAGTTGGATTAGATCTGCCCAATTGTTTTTGATAAAACTCAACCAACACCTCTGATAAATGGCCTTTAGTTTAAGGTGAAGCTCCTGGGTTAGGATTTTTCAGAAACCAACAGGTTTTCATCATTTATATCATTCTTTAGAGCTGCTTGGGTGAGATATAACTTGGTGCGCAGGATATTTTTGGGATCATATAGGTACCTTTGATATTTTACCACAAATCTAGCTGGGTTTGAATGTAAACAAGACTTTCCCTTTTTATCATTTGGTGTCTTCTTTATGATATTTGATTATCTGTTACTACTTGAAAAGTGGTTTGTCTGGGATATGTCTCTTAAAACAAAACATGTCATTCTGTCTCACACTACCCCAAGGTGTTAGAAGTGTTTCTTCTTTGAACATTCATCCCAAGTGCACGCCAGCTCAAATGTGACGCTTGGGCTTATAAGCATTTGCCTTTTGTGCTTCAATTTCAAAAAAAAACTGGGAAGCACAAACAGGAGTAGTTGAGATGAAGTTTAAACTCTATGATCATCTGGAAATCCATTCAGTGTCATACTCTTTTGTGTAATGTCACCAACCAGTCATATCACCATAGTTTCCACTTTTTATATTTCTCACATTCCTTCATGTTATGTGTTTATCATTGTTTATTGGTAATAAACAACATCCTGTGTGTTTATTGGTAAATGAAGTACTAAGTTAGACAAGGATGGCATAAAGCTTTCTTTTTTTAAGGCAAACAACAACATCCTGCTTAGGGATGTCCCAAACTAGGGTCTGAGGCAGTATAAGTGAGGCACTATAAGATGCTATTAAGAGGGAAGTGCACTTTTAGAATCTGATTTTGAAATAGAATATGATTGTGAAGCTTCTTTTTATGGGAAAACTGACACTTTTAGGGGCTGATTTAGAAACTTTTGGGGCTGACTTTGATGAGAAATTTGGTACTTTAAAGGCGAATTTTCATAGAGATTTCTGGTTTTGAAGTTAATTTCATGGATAAAACAGAACCTCTAGGGCCTGACTTTTGAATACAACAAGTCCACTCCCTTTCAATGCATTTCTTCTTCATCATCTGTATAGTTTCATTTGGTTTAATTTCAAGTGTAGTGGCACGTATTGATTCTAAATTACACATTTTTATAAATCTTATTCTTTCTTACTCCATCCCTTGTTTAAGTGTTTTATAAATTACAAACTTATATTCTAAATTCTCATTTTTTGAGTTTCATTTCACAGAAAAATGGATGCCGAAGAACAAATGCAAACACTCACGGTTATTGCTGCCATCAAACCAATATATCAGTCTTTTACGAAAGACAAACATCAAACATCTACTCACTACTAAGCCTCTACAGCCTCTCTCAAAGGGAAACAAGCACTCCAAGTTTAAAGAGAAAGTTGAAGGTTGAAGAGGACTGCCACAAAAAGAAAACTTAACCCATGTTTCAAGATCTTAGAAACTTTTTTGGACTTAATTAAATGTATATTCCTACCCCTCTTGTAATATATATGTATCCCAACTAGGTAGGAATCCTCTACATCTCATATATGAAGTGCATGTGAGCACTTCAATTTTTGTAAAAACTTATACATTTGCAACGTATCATAAATGAAGTGTAGGTGATCACTTCAATTTTTGTAAAACAATGTTTAAACTTCTCGTAAAGTACTACACGTAAGCCATACTACAAAATCATAGCACATTATACAAACAATTTGGGCACACACACACAACGTGTGTGCCATGCTAGTATATACATATTCTTGACAACCGAGTGAGACGAATGCAATTATTGGGTATTGTAACTTAAATAAATGAGCTCTCCCTTGGGGCTCATGGATGATAACCCATGTGAACTCCACGTTCCTTTGCTTTCCACCATAATTTGTGCATTAGGGCATTGGAAATACGTTTGAAGCCCCAGGGCTTGAAACCGAGGCTTCAAACTTTCTCTTTCTGCCACGTCAGCTTTAACTTACACCCAAAATTCACTGGAAATGGGTTTGAAGCCCCGGGGCTTCAAACTGGAGCTTCAAACCTTAATTTTTTACATTTTTAAATATACATCTTCTAAAATTAAATTAATAAAATGTAAATAATTTATTATTTAATAATATTGAAACACGAATAATAAAAAAATACATTCATTAAATATAAAAACGACAATAATAAAAAAAGATACATTAATAAATAAAAAAACTAAGGAAAATTATATTTCTCCTTGATCTCTCTTATTCTTTGCTCGTAGATCATTCGTCCCAAACCTGACAACGTAGAAAGGTCGATTTCCATGACTTTCATCTCGGCCTCCTGCTCCTTTAGCATCAACTCCTTCTCCTTTAGTTTCAACATCTCTTCTTCTTAGAGATTGAATGCCCGAAGTTCTTCAACCATTTCCCGGCCGATTTCGTCACGAGAAGAAACGGAAACAGAGCCGGACCCTCCCGAACCCGAGGCAATGGATTTTGCCTTCTTTCTTCCGATCGGCCGTGGAATGAGGTCCTTGTCATCGGAATCCGCAACGTTGAAGGGAGGGATTTGATCGGTCGAACCGATAGTCTCGTCGACCTCAACCTCGGCGTCGACGGAGGATCTTTTCCAGAACGATCCGCCGTCGAGATTGTTGAGTTGTTTCCACTTCGGGGAACGGCTCAAAATTCTCCAAAGATCGATGGGCACCTTGCCTTGGTGCCCGTCGTCTTGATACCGGGCCGTGGCAAGCCGGAGAACATCGGTGTCGTTCGTCCCGCTCCTCCGGGAGTGGGAGCATTCCTCGTAAACTGCGATAAGCTTTCGGACTTTACGGTTGATGTGGCTCCATTTGGAAGTGAGTTGGTCCCGGGTTCGGTATGAGCCGTCCTTTTTCATCGCCGTGAAGAACTTCTCCTCGATACGATCCCACATCGCATCCTTCGTTTGCTCCGAACCTTTAAAAATGTATAACACAATTTTTTTAGACACGATTAAATATAATATATATATAAATAAAAACATAAATATTCTAGAAAAAATAAATTTTTTACCAATGATAGGATGCTCGGAAACGTCAACCCAAGCTACACCCAATAAGCACTCCTCCTCCGGCGTCCACTTTTGGATTGACCGTGCCACCTCGGTCATCGTGCCTTTAGCTTTGTAGCTTTTCCGGCATGTAATTTTTTTCGACCCGGTCGTTTCCGGTTGAATCTCCGGAACCGAATCTTGCTCGACGTACCCCGATTGTTGTGTCTCGTAGATCGGCGGTTGATCGCCCCACTCTTGGTAATACCACATCGCGGCGTTGCTTGGCGGGAGATTGTCGGGAAAGAAGCCAGAGCCGGAAGGATTCATGTTGAAAAGAGAGGGAGTGATTTCGAAATTTAAAATTTGGGAAGAAGAAGATTGAAGAAAAGAAGAGTGAAGAAGGAAGGTGTGAGAGATTGGGGGGTTTGAATTTATAAGGAAATTTTTTTTTGAGTCCAACGGCTATTATAGCCGTTAAAGGGGGAGGGGAAGGAGAATGACGAAGCGTCATTCGTTTGACACAGGCCTTGTGACGCCCGTGTGCGTCGGGGGGCGGTGATTAATACCCCCGGGGCGTTAAAACGGCCTTAACGCTAGTGGGCGTGATGACCATACCCAGTGCTCTTATCTTTCTATTATTGGTGAGCCCATGTGATTGACAAGAATAGCACTTGATGTGTTTGATCTGAGTAAACCTTAAAGGAGAATGCTAAAGAGGCACCACGTGTGCCTCCAAGCATGCCACCCAATATATTTAATTTTTTTTCAATTTTCCTTTATTCTTAGTCTTTTCGTCTCCCGCCTTCATCCCCAAAATTCTCAAATCTCCCTTCTCCCGCTTCAACCTCCACAAGCGACAGAATTCGGACAACTCCAATTCCACGTCCAAGCTCCGATCCAGACCTCCCAAGGTGAGGTCGTAAACACCATCTTCGTCTTGCACGGGCCAAGCGTGCTGCCGTTGTGATGCAAAGGTCTTAGACGCATCCATTTTCTTCCTCTTATTAGGTAGGTTATCATTTTTTCTACCTTCTTTCGGTTTCGGGTTTTTCTATGTAGTCCTTTTTCTTGTTTTCTTTTGACAATTCTTTTCCCTGTAGTCCTCTCATCCCCACTTCAGGCACGCTACCTTTGTTTCCTTTAGAAGGACACTGACCATTGTTCCGGACATTAGGGGTGAGCATGGTACGGTATGGTACGGTATTTAGCTCGTACCGTTACCGTACCAAGTATTTCAGTTCGGTATGGGATTTTACCTCGTACCGATCCTGATCCCGAAATATCGGTTCGGTATGGTTCGAGATGGTTCGGTATCAGTTTCGGTACAAATCGGGATGAATATACGTACCTACTTTACACGTTAAAATTTAACAATGTCCCTTTATTTTTGAAAATTAAAAAGTGAATTTAAATAAAAGAACATGAAAATTAAAAAAACATGAATATTTAAATGCAAGAGATGCTTATCAAAACTTAGTTTATATTTCACAAACTAAAAAAATGAACGACAATAAAGGAGTATTTCAAATCTTTGTGAATACTTTTATGTTCATACACAAAAATTTACTTGAACTAATTTTTTTTATAAAAAAATTACCGGGAGTATTATTTAGTGAAGGAATATAAAAATATTACTCCGGAGTATTATTTTTTTATAATATTTTAGTATATATGTTCGGTTCGGGATTTTCGGTATGGGACGTCCCCTCGTACCGTTCCCAAATACTGTACCGACCATTCGGTTCGGTATGGTTCGGTTCCTTCTCGGTATTTTTTCGGTTCGGTATTTTTCGGTTCAGTATTCTCGGTGTTTTCGGGAAATTTCGGTGTCGGTTCGGTACTTGCTCACCCCTACCGGACATCATTGTTAATGTCATCTGTGTTCTGTCTGATCTCACCACTCGCCTGTTGTTGCCCTTCGTCGTTAAACAAATACTGAAAGCAAGGATCGTTAAGAAACAAATTTGGCTCAAAAGCTGCAAAAAACAGTACATTTAATATAATACAATGCCTGACTATGAAGAAAAAAATACACCAAATGCAGAGTGCATACAAATTATTAGCATCTCTGACAAGGACAAACCCTAGGTTCACAGAACTTTAATCTCTGTAACATTAAAACAAAATAGTTTTTTTTTCACTACTTCAAATGAATATAGAATGAGGTCTAAATATCAACACTTACAACTGGGCTGCAACTCATATAAAACCAGGTCTTCTTTTTCACCACCAAAATCATGTGGTTGATCATTCTCAACATGTGTAAGAATACATGTTTGTAAGTCCATAATCACCAAATACCCTATGTACTCCACAAAAATTCAAATAATTATTTCTATAGAAATTGACTAAAAAGGAATGAAGAGAAGAGATTGACACAGGGATGGTCGTGCTACAGGGGTTGGCGCATCAGAGATATGAAGAGGAAGATAAGGAAAAGAAGATATTATCTGCCTTGTAGGAAGGAGAGCGTGGAATAGGGAGAGGAGAGTCTTGCGGCTGGTTGGCGCGGAAGAGCAGAGCCAGAGCGACGTAGAGGAAAGAAAAAAAAGATAAAAAAAAGGAGAAAAAGTAAAAAAAAAACACCTTAAATAGGGAGACAACAACGGATGCAGGGGCGGGTGCAGTGTAGCACGGTCCAAGCTTAAATGGTGGCTACTATTGAAAAAGACGGTCAAACCTTCCTGTCATGATAAATAGTCATCTTACATTGGGGGCCTATTTGGGATTAGCTTTAACGATTAACGTTAGCGTTTTGAAATGGCTATCGACGGACAGCGTTTAGCGTTAGCGTTTTCAAAGCAATCTGCACCATTAAAATTTTATCCAAAACGCTAACGCTAATCTCTAACGCTATTCCCAAACGGGCTCTGGGTGGGCTAGCTAGGTATGCTGGCAGAAGAAAATGGAAAGAGTCCCTGGGTGATAGACGAATTTGGCTCTGACGTCAATCATTGATGATGACTACCTCAGATGTACCCTTAGCAACGGGGAACCACAGCCATGGAAAGAGCTTCCGTGATTCATCCCAACCTGCAAACAACTTCTTCTCCTCCTCTGATGTGGCGACTCTAACACCATCATCGATCCGTTGGTTGTCGCTTTAGAGTACGTGGGACGGAAGGGGCCGTTGGAGACGCCAGCTACCGCGATCGTGACTACACCTGGAGGAATGGATAGGCGGCGAGATCGGAGGAGGAAGCAGATCCATCATTATCGATATTATCGTCGTCAACGATGATTGATATTTTTGCAGCGATAGGCTGGCGACAACAGAGTTTTCAACAGGGGTGGGTGGGGTGTCGGATTAGGAAAAATGCACCCACATACACTTCTTTGGGATCAAGTTACTTCCTCTTTCTCTTCCTTTGAATTGGTGCCCATTGTAGGCCGATTGCAACTCCGTCTCCGGTGACGGCTAATTTTTATCCATATCTAGAAACAATTCGACCCAGATAGATTCAAAACCACTTGGAAGCTAAGGGCGACGATGGCCTAGCTCCAGCGCTGGTGATAGACTAGGGCAGCTTCAGCGATCTATACCAATTGGGGCGGCAGCAGTGGGTCTTAGCAGCGGCGGTGGTGGAGTCCGCCGGTAGTTTTGGGGAAGGTGACTACTGAGAGATCTCTGGGGGGAAGCGATTGCAATCGGCTCCAAGTGTTCCTGCTTCTTCTTTCTTTATCCCTTTTTCCATAAAATTGAAAATCAGAACACATGTTCTGTTTCTACCCCTTTTAGTTCCTTTCTCTGCCTCTTGAAGCTTAACCCCTCTCTCTCTCTCTCTTTTGTTTTGTTTCTGCCCACTCTTGTGAGGGAAGAGAAAAAAAATGGTCGAACAAAAAGAACAACTTTTTGTTTGCTTCCCACAGTTGGTGCCAAAATGATGAGGTAAATTATCTCAACCAGAATATTGTTCCTAGTCGGGCAAAAACGATAAACTAGTCTAACAAAATATACCAAAATACAAATACGAAAATTTTGACGTGAAAACCCAATTGGAAGAAAATCACAGGCCTTTTTGGTGGTACCTTGCCAACGTGGGATTTTTATTGATATCGGGGATTTGTACGCTGTACATTTTTTAGGCTTAGAAACCATTAATGAAGTATTTGAGCTCTTGAAGAAGAAAATATGTACTTTAGAAAGAGAAAGCACTGAGCAGGGGAGAGGAGTGTGTGACATGCCTCTTAACATTGAGGGCAAATCCTCCTTTTTTTAGGGAAGGAGGAGGAGCATCTTCGGGGAATATTCTCTTATTCCTTCATTTTATTAAACAGACCTAATTTGATTGTTATTCGTAAATAATTAGAAAATATGGCCGAGCCATGTATTATATCCCATCACCAGAGATATTATAGTTCGAGTAAGATGTATTATAACCCTTCACCAGAGAAATATGGGTCCTAGGATTAATTAGCATAGTTTTTGACCAAGTTAGGTTAACACTATATACTCTCTCCGTCCCTAAATAGATTATAATTTTTTTTTCTCCTCTCGATAATTTTTGTTTGTTTACACGCTTTCTTTAAGTATTTGATAAAATAAAATATTCTTGTCACTTCTTGTTTTGTAGAACTTTTGACGTAGTTTTTTAATATGTGATTTTTATATCTTATTGATATACCAATTTGTAAATAAAATGATTTCAAAAAGTAAGAAATTTTACTCCGTAACCCGCAATTTGTAATCAAATTGGGGACGGAGGGAGTATATCATAGGCAAGCCATGAGTTTTGATATGAGAGTCATATGAGATAGGTATGAAAGCTATTGCATTAAGTGTTGAGTTATATTTTTCTGACATAATAAAAGCTAGTTCTCATCAAATTGTGTTCTATTTAGTACTTTCACTTCAATAAAAGTGAAAATGTTTGTTCTCTCTTAACCCCCCCTCTTTAGTCTTCGCAGCTTTAAGCATCCCATTCAACATTAGAAGCCATGTTCGTTCCCTTCAGCAATTTTAACACCTTCAACTCTGAGACAAAAACTATTGTTCAGCTTGACCATGACTTTAAAAAGCGAAAAAGGGATGTTAGCTTCGAGGCGTTAAGGTGGTGAGGCGAAGGTTTATTGCCTCATAGGGGTGCGCAACAGGTGGCCTCGGTGAGGCCCTTGGGTTGTTGAGGCAGTACGAGGCGTCTTAGGCGAAACTAAGGCGATAGCCTAACTACTAAAGCTATAAAACTTATTTTTAGCACTTCTTTGTAAAATGACAATATATTTGATGAGTTGAGTATTCAATGCGAGAATCCATCCTACCTTCATTTAGAAACTTGACTCAGTTCATTAAGAATTGATCAACGAGCTTACTTTCAGCACTAATTTATCATTTAGGAGCATGCTACACTTACACCAAAAAATATACCCCATTTGTACACCACAGGTTTGCACAAACATTTCGATGGTTTACACCGACACAAGTGTTGGTGCGTTAATAAAAATTCACACAAACACAAATGTTAGTGCGTTTAACAAAAATTAGTTTTACACCAACATAAAGTGTTGGTGCAAAACTGCGGGGTACAAATTGGGGTACAAACTTTGGGGTACACATAGCATAATCCTATCATTTAATTGTTCATCATTTTTTACACGTAATACGGTGGGGTTCTAGTGACACCGGAGTACGGTGACGCTCTGGTGCCACTGTCATTTTGGGGCACTTCCGGTGCTCCGTTCGTAAAATTGACGGTTCCTACCCCCACTAATCCATCCCCTAAACCCCCACTCTACCCCCGCCCCTGCACCCCGACCCTGACCCCACCGTAGGAATCGTCAATTTTACGAACGAATCACTGGAAGAGCTCCAAAATGACATTAACATCTGTCACCAAAAGTGAGTGTCACTAGAACCCCACCGCACATAATATAGCAAAACATTCATTTTACTTAGAACATTTTTAATTGGGTTGCTTAAGTGAGTTATTTCACCTAAAAAAGGCTGATATGGAGCACCAATGGGAGCACTGATTGCTTCATCTTAAGTACTTTTTTTGTTCCAAAAAAGAATAGACTCTCTACTATTCAAAAGTCAGAGACACATTCATTTATTTGTATATTTTGATAAATTATTTGATAAAATAAATTATTTCTGTCGCCTCTTGTTTTGTAAAATTTTTAACGTGATTTTTACATATGCAAGTTCTATTTTAAATTTATTTACTAATCTTTAAATAAAATAAATTTAAAAACTTAAAATTTTACTATGTTATGCATAAAGTGTAAACAACTAGGGACGGAGAAAGTATTATTTTTTTGAGTAAATTCCATAAAAGGTCCCTAGTTATAGGTCGTTTTACATATTTAGTCCCTACGTATCAAATATTACTAATTTAGTCCCCAATTATCATATTCATTTCCACGAATGGTCCTTTGTTAACATTTCCATTAAAAACGTGGATAAAATTATAAATTCACACTTCTTTATCTCCTCAATTAAACTTCATCCCTTCCCCTCGCACTCCTTTACCAAACCCGTCGCTGAGTTTGAAGCTTTGTATCCAAAACCGAAATCATCACTCTTCTCTCAATTATTTGTCTAACTGGTGGAACCCAAATTCGAAACCAGTAACATTTATGGATTAGTTTTAATGTTTATTTTCTTTGTAATTTGTTGACACTAACCGATAAAACTCATCCATAAAGCTTATTGGTTATTATTTTAAATTCTACTAGGAAGACTAATAATTGAGAAATGAATGATCATTTCAGTTTTGGGTTTAGAGCTTCAAACTCAGCGACGAGTTTGGGAAAGCGTACGATAGGAGGGAGAAAGCTTAATTGAGGAGAGAGAAGTATGAATATACAATTTTATCGATGTTCTTAGCCATTCGTGAAAAATGATGAGTATATATAATAATTGGGACTAAATTAGTAACATTCGATATGTAGAGACTAAATATGTAAAACGACTTATAACTGGAGGCCCTTTATAAAATTTACTCTATTTTTTTGAACACCGGAGGGAGTATTATTAAAACAACTACGGAGTATATCTTAACTTTCTATTATTTAAATAATTCAAAATAACTCACCTAAACAACCACTAAAGACTCTCTTAGTGGAACACATTTCCATTTTATAAGGACTCAAACCATTATTAGAGCACACTGATATTTAAGTCCCAAAAAAACCCCCCAATAAGCCCATTAGGCTTTATTTCTTCCCACCAAATATGTAAGATTACGTTATGTTTTTTGTTCATTACCAGCTTTCCTCTCTTGTAACCACGGCTGCATTTTACGAGCATCATTAATGTGCTAAAGTAAGATGTTTATAAGCTCATCATCTTCTATAGTCTAAACTGTAAAGTACAGAAAAATTACCTTTTTTTAAATATAAAGAAAAAAGAAAGGAAAGAAAGAAGATTCCCTAAAAATGGTTCTTTCTCCCAAAGGTTTTGCCCTTTTTACCTTTAATAATAACTTGCTTCTCTTCCTCCTCTTCATCATCGTCTTCGCTGTACTCGCTTTTAACCTCATCATCATCATCATCCTCTTCTTCCTCAACGTCTTCTAGAACATTCTCTTGATTCTCACTCCCCACATTGCGACCCCCGCGGGACCCACCTCTGTTCCTTTTCAGCACTTTGACTTTCACGCTTACCGTCTTGTCACATCCCACCCACGCATCACACAACAAATAACCAGTCAGGTTGTAGTTTCCTTCTGCAGGAGCTCTGATCTTCCCAGTCACCAGCCGGGACCCACCCCTGACACGTTCCGCGGCTTCTTTGACCGTGGCATTGACTTGCTCCGTGTCCTTCCCTAAAGCTTCCAGTCTAGCCTCTATCACTTTCGAAGCAGAAGTTACCGCTGCGGCTTCATCCATAAAGGTGACCTTTTGGGAGAACCAGAGGTTGTTTGAATCTGTGTCTGCAAGTAAAAACCAGAAGTTTTCTTCCTTGGGGAAGGGGTAAAATGGGCAATGGGGGAGAGAGGCAATCAACCCATTGGTGCGTTTTACTGTCACCCACGCCTGGACTGTGACGATGTCTCCCTCTTGTATTCCCTCCTCCCCTTCGGTCTGGCAACTGACTTCAGCTGTGACACGTGGCATCAATTCCAGAACCTTTTCAATGTCTTGCGCTTCATGAGAGGAGAAACCAGCCGTTTCCATGAGCAGCTTGGAGCGTTCTTGAGAGGTCATGTCTTGGAGATCCTGCAAGGTCCAAGCCTATCCACCAGGAAACATCATTTGGTTAGACGAAAGAATGAAATGCAAAATCAGTTTTGCTATACGGTAGAATAAAATGTAAAAACCATTCATACTGGAGGCCTTGACTCTACAGCTATTTTGGGACCCAGAAAATGATAGGGAAAATGAGAAAAGGGTGAGCCAAAAACATTGTTTCTATGTTTGGTTTTACCTTGGGAAATACAAAGACAAATCCAATTTGACTAAAACTCTTCAAAATGTAACAAATGTTCCGATTCTTTAGTATTTATAGTATTTAGTATGACTGAATATGTAGTATTGATTAACTGATTTTTTAAACCTTTCTTAGTAAGCTTATTTGTTTAAACTAATTATCAATTATAATTCAATTAATAGGATGTTCAATGCCCTAAGCTAGTTAGTCAATGCTGCAAAAAAAAGGTTAGTGACTTGCCAGCTGAACAAAGCAACTGATTTCTCTCCAAATGATAAATATTTAATTACGCTGTGGATGGATTTTACAAAAAATGACCCTCAACATTTATAGAAGCCAAGTAACCGCCAATCCCTAGCATTTAAGCCCACTGCCACATTATTTAGTAACTATTCCTAGAATTTAGGCCTACTGCCACATTACTTAGTAAGTATAGTAACTACTCCTAGAATTTAGGCCCCCTTACACATTAATTACTACTTAGTAACTAACATATATAACATAAACATTTGACTAACTCTACTAAATAAATATCAATAACATAATACTTGCTTTGGGTCTGCTTGTCACTCAGAAAATGCAAGGAAAAGAAAATATGGAGAACAATAAAATTTGACAGAAATTAAGGGATTGACTTGCACTCGATAAATTTATTTTAAATATTTGTTCATTTATTTATGTTATGTAAAGACTAAAAACTTCAAACATATAGCGGTAAAGAATCAAAACATTAACCATATTTTAGTTTCCCTTGCATAGTCCAAGGTAAAGCCGAGCATGAGAAAATAACTTTCCACAATCTAAACATGCCCTTGTGATGTAACTAAAATATTTTCTCTAATTAAAAAAAATATTACTGGGAATTTTAAGTTTTAACAATTTAGCACATGAGATATTAGTCACAGAAACAGCAGTGCCACAATAAACAAGGAAATTAATGCTTGCTTACTTTTTGAACTATCTTTTCAATAGCTGCACCATTGAAATGTGGAAGCTGCAGAAATGAAGCAGCACCTTCACCGCCAGACCATCCTCGAACCGCCTTCCTTGCACTAAGAGGAACAGCCTGCATCATCATCATCATCACCATCATCATCATCCATCGTTAGCCTTATTAGATTATGAAGTAATTAAAAAAACAAGTAATCATATATTCCAGAAAACGTGTAACCTGAACAATACATTGGGAAAGTTCAATCACTCCTACTGCAGGCCTCAGCCATCCGTGTCCCTTAGGAGTGCGTGGTAGAGCAGCCATCTGTGTGTCGTGAGAATCACAAGCTATGTGAATGGGTAGCGCAATTACAAAGAAATATCACATCAACATCAAACATTTGCAGAGCACTTTTATCAATTCTAAGGAAGCAGTCACTTGGGGTGTTTATTAGAATTCATCACAAATCACTGCAGGATAAGAAAATCAGGCTATATGTGGTGGCCATAATTGGTTTATGTTACAAAATGCTTTTCCTTTTAGAAAATGCAGCAGCCAAATAACACTGACCAACAGGGCTCTTAGATTGCATTACGAATTACACAATCCAATACTCCAACTTACCACAAATAGCTCTTCCAAAAGACGAGGGGCCAATTGTAGCACGTGTTTGTAGTCCTTTTGCAAATCTGGGGATAAAGTCTCCGTTTTACGTGTTAAATGTGCATGAATCAACAACTCTGTCTGAAATGAAAAAAAGAATAAAGAAAGTGAATCAGCAAATCCGGGAAGTATATTTTATTATGAGTTAATACCCGGTTGAGTTCTCATACATATTTTGTTCTAAATACCCTTCATAATTAGAGTAAACTATGTCTAAAGAATAAAGTGAGTCCAAATTACATAGCCGAAGACCATATTGACTACACGCAGTATTGACTCTATAAACATTCCCCATAACATTAGTATATTACCTTAATCAGTGAAGGATGTTGCTTCCAATATTTTGCTTGCTCCTGTTTGGAATTCTTTCCCTCCAAGTTCAGCTCTCCTTTTAAAATTGAGAAAAGCTTCTGAAGGGGTTCATCATCTTGTTTCCGAACTGGAATCTCCATATATTCAGCAGCTTTAATGAATACTTCCACTACTTTACTGAAAAATTCAAATGACCAATGCATCATTAAAGTCACAACCTATCTTTCTCTAATCAAAAGTCGATTTCAACAGCTAGAGCTTATTTTATTGAATTTGGTACAATTTTCTGAATTTCTGGTGAGGAGGAAGTGTTCGGAGAAAGTATGCTAAAAATATAAGTACGGCAGATGATTTGCAAGAGTCATACCATACAAAAATTTAATTAGGTTGCGCTTTGACGAATCATGAGTCTTTTGAGACCGAGTCATTATTTGATTGTTATAAGACAAAAATGAACCCAAAGGAAAAAAAACATGAATGGTGAACCTTCTATATTGTGTAGGACCTCACGCGCTACCTACTCTCCTGAAACCAATTGGTGTTAGGAGAAGCGCATACCCTAGCCTTATAGTGCATTCAGCACACACAAGCGCCCACGACATTTGAGTGTGACTTGGCTCACATAGCCTTCGCCAAGGGAAAATTGATGCACACATGGCCAACATATTGTATTTTAACTTAGTGGAAGAATACTATTTAGATAGTGTACATAGACGAAGAGCATGATAACTGCTAAACCTTGGAGCAAGTGATGGCTTCATTAATTTAAAATAGGCAGACACAGTTTCATGTCTGACATTTCCAGAATATTTTGACGATCTTGACAGATATATGACACCAACGATCAGTGGCAACAGAATAAGCCCACCGAGAATCCATATTAACAGTACTCCACCGGATGCACCAGCAAGTAGAAACTCCGGAAGAGCTATTCCAATTTGAAAACCCTATACCAAGGCACAATGGTGTCGGTATGATGATGGGATTATATCTGTCTTTTAAAAGTGAAGTAATGAAAAGAAGGAAATTAACCTGTCTACCATCTGGATGCCCGTATTTTTCAAAATTTTCACGGGAAATTGGATCTGTCAGAGCCTGATAGGCCTTGGATATATATTCCACAAAATACTTATTTGCACCTGAAAATTTGGAGAGTAACTACTAATTAAATCTATAAGTCACATTGTATTCTGCTACTGTCCCATTTTAAATGTCCTACTTGTGCAATGAGGGAAGACTGAAAATATTTACAGTTTAACCTTTGTAATATTTAATTTAATAGTATGACTCAAGTATAACTTAGATATGTAAAAACTGCACAGTACATCACAATTTAGATAATATACAGGTAGTAACATGACTATTAAACTATAAAATAGTACTCCCTTTGTAGTTTGTCCCGATGGTTTTATCCAACCTTCCTTAGCAAAAAATTATGATATCACAAAATTCTGTGGTTCGGGTTTATTATAAAGAAAAAGAAAATTCATGAACTGCAATTTTTTTCCTCCAATGGAAACTAGGAAAGTTATCAGAATGAACAAATTAGGAAACTTGGGAAAAATGCAATGGGGTTCAATTCCGTCCATTGCAAATGGAGCTAAAAGAGACATAATTGACATTGTTCTAGTTTCTGGCACGTAATGGGTTTAATAAAAATGGCATGCTAAACTTCCACTGTTTCTTTCTTCCTTGAAGCTTTGAGCAATTAATGCAACAACGCATCTAGGGTCTTAACGGGAACAACTTCCCTATTTTAACAGGGGTAAAAGTGTGAGCATCTTGGGAAAAAAGCAACGGGGTGAAGGGAGTATCAGAGAAAATAAGACAGGAGTAATATTTTCATAAAGTCTTGTGCAATAATAGGTGCTCAGCCAACCAGGATCAGGATTTTTGTCAGGATGGTACTGAATAGAAAGCCTCCTATAGGCTTTCTTTATTGCTAAGTCTGAAGCTCCAGGTTCCAGTCCAAGAATGCTAAATGGCTCAAACACTTGAATCTGCGACAGAAGAAAATAGAATACAAAAAAGAATGAATGTAGTCATCCACTCCTATGGGTATAATGAGAAAAAAATACGAGAATATGACTTGAAAAGTTAACGACTAATTAAGGGCTCGTTTGAGCTCAGTGGGCTTTGATACCAGATTAATACTTTAGGTTCCAACCCAAAAGGTCAACAGGTATACGTGAAAAATTTACCTCGCGTCCGGTTTGCTTAATAGAATAAGCAAGTAGGCCAACTACCAACCAAAGCAAAACAATGGTCAAGTTACTGCAGCTTAAGAAGCTTGATATCTGCAGAAGGCATAACCATTAAAAAGCATGAGTTAGTACATATGCATAGAAACACATCACTCTCACTAGTAAGAATATACTAAAGGCCAGTTGCAAATGGTAAGTGACCTTCTGAGAATTTGTTTTGCGGTATTTTCCAGATCGTCTGCACACCGAACACTCGCAGTGGATTCTACTTTTACTCTTCGTAGAAGCACGAAAAATTTTCAGCACGGTGTAAGGGACTAAAGGCAGACAGATCACTGACAATATGAAAATCGGAAATAATGCGCTGTTTTCTTGGTTGTCTGCCATTAGAACCTTCTACCTGTCAATGCTATACAAGCATCACCTGCGGAAGCATGAAGTAATTATCCACACAAAAATCTGAAGAAATATTATAATGCCCATGTAGGGATGACGTTATTCCCGGCTGAGAATTCTACAGCTGCTTGCATTTCAAACAGAAAGTTCATGGCACAATCGCATTCATGCATTAATTTCATCAGCAGAATAAGTGTGGCTATGAAATTTGACTAAACGAAACACGATAATCCACACCAAGCACTCAAAACCAAAACAAACAAAAAGAAGAAAAGTAAACCCTATGGGAAATTTTCAGAAATCTCATTCTACAGGAAACAGCCCGTCAAAGGAAGAGTCCTTGCACATGAAAATCAAGGGGCAGGAACGCAAGCCATTCATAACAAAGAGATCAAACCCGATTCCAGGATCAGTCAAACAAGAAGAATTATAGCATACCTGGAATTAATACGTTGAAGGGGAAAAAAGATCTGGGTCTTCTTGTCCAGCGACCCACAGTTCGAAGGCGCCAAGGTTAACCAATAAAAATACGGATATGGCCCGACGAATTGCTACTGTTAGGCAATGGTACTGTAACGGATGCAGCTGACGCTGTGGGGGTGTCAATGGCTTTTTTCCTTGTAAAAGGCAATATGTTTGTTACAACGACCGTGCTACAGGGCACCCACCCATACCTCCTTTGCTGCCTCCCTATTTAAGGTATTTTTTTTACCTTTTCTCCTTCTTTGTTTTTCTTTTTTTCTTTCCTCTACGTTATTATGACTCTGCTATTCCGCGGCAGCGACCCCCCGACTCTCCTCTCCCTTTTCTGTGCTCTCCTTCCTACAAGGCAAGTAATTTCTTCCTTTTCTTATCTTCCTCTTCATATCTCTGATGCGTGAATCCCTGTAGCACGACCATTTTTCTATCAATCTCTTCTCTTCATTCCATTTTTAGTCAATTTCTATAGCAATAATTTTTTGAATTTTTGTAGAGTACATATGGTATTTGGTGATTATGGACTTACAAACATCTATTGTTACACATGTTGAGAATGATCAACCCCATGATTTTGGTGGTGAAGAAGAAGATCTGGTTTTATATGAGTTGCAGCCCAGTTGTAAGTGTTTATATTTAGACCCCATTCTATATTCATTTGAAGTAGTGAAAAAAAACTGTTTTGTTTTAGTGTTACAGAGATTAAAGTTCTGTGAATCTAGGGTTTGTCCTTGTCACAGATGCTATAATAATCTGAATGCACTCTGCATTTAGTGTATTTTTTTCTTCATAGTCAGGCACTGTATTATATTAAAAGTACAATTTTTTGCAGCTTTTGAACCAGATTTGTTTCTTAATGATCCTTGCTTTCAGTATTTATTTAACGAAGAAGGGCAAGAACAGGCGAGTGGTGAGATCGGACAGAACACAGATGACATTAACAATGATGTCCGGAACAATGGTTAATGTCCTTCTAAACGAAACAAAGGTAGCGTGCTTGAAGTGGGGATGAAGTTTACAAGCATTGAAGAAATCCGAGAACACTATCTGGCTGATGTAACTCTGTCTTCACAAACATTAATTCTCTGTGAAGTGTGTGACATGGATAGTTATTCCATGTGAGTACCATGAAATCTATTACATGGTAAGCCAACCAACAAAGACTCTAGAAATGCAAGCACCATCACTCCACAATTGCCATACCTGCAAGGGAAAATAATATTAAAAAAAGTAGGGGGTATGATTTTCACCACTCCATGGGAGTACCATAACGAAGTAATGGCGAACAAACCTAGAGTCATGTTGCGGAATACCATTGACAACAATTGTTTCCCATTTCTTCTCCAAAGTGTTTGCACCCACACCCTTAACCCTGCGAAGTAGGGGGTATTCTTCTTACTACTTCTTGAACATAAAATGAGGATTTCGGCCCTTTCAAGGAGTCATAAACTCGAACTTGATTTCGTAAGAGATCTATTTCAGCTAGAACCCAATGTCTCCCATCTCCATTCACGGGCAAAAAAATCTACGCATCAAGGGAGAAAAAAAGAGCTAACTGTCTATTTTACAAAACACACAGATAGTTTATGTATGTGAAGAGAGATTCACATGAGTTTAAGTTCATGGAATTCTGAAGAAGCATAGTACCTTTTCACAGAAAATAATGTTATATGAAGTTCAAATAACAGAACTTAACCATTTATGACATACAATTCACACAGTGAATGTGATAAAACTCTTGATAAAACTCTGGCAGTGAATGTGATAAAACTCTTGATAAAAATCTTGGTAAGAAGAATCAATCTGGCAGTGAATGTGATAAAACTCTTGAACCAGACCAAAAAAAAGTTTTCATGGGCTAAAGCAGGATGTTCATCCAGAAAAAATATTCTGTCTATCCGGAACTAGTGAAACATATTCTCTTTGTGTTTTTTAGCATTCTTGAGTGTCAGTGCGTGTGATATTCTTAACCAAATAGCCAACCTCTTAGGTAATCTATAGTTCTCAAAAGAAGATTCCAAATTTAATCTTTTAAGTAATAGTTTTATTGAAGTGTGCTAAGCTTTAAGTTGGTATTGCCAGGTCGAGCTAGTCTATTTCCTCTACAAGAGGGATCTTGTCTACATGATACCATAAAAACCTAATATGCTGCACAAGAATCACTATGTAGAATGATCAATAATTCTAAATTACTTTGGAATTAGCATCATACCTGCGTTGGAGGAGTGGACGGAGAAGAAGGACGGAGAAGAAGGACTTCATCGCAGGCTGCGAGTTGAAGCGGGAGAATGAAGACCTGCGCTGGAGAAGTGGACGAAGAAGGACAGAGATGAAGGACTTGGGAGAAGGGAGACCGTTGCAGATGCCGGAGAAGAAGGACGGAGAGGTTGTGGAGGTTTAAGCGGGAGAAAGAAGATTTGGGATTTTTGGGGCTGGAGACGAAAAGCCACCCAAAAAAAGAAAATTGAAAAAAAAATTAAATTTTAAATATATTGGGTGGCATGCTTGGAGGCACACGTGGTGCCTCTTTAGCATTTTCCTTGTTCCAAATTACACCTCAGGCTACTTGAGCTGCTCATGCTATTAATAACTTCTTTTCCTTATTAGGTTGATAGGTGTGGATCAAGTCATCCCACCCAACGCCAGTCTGACCATGTTAATTTTTCTCTTTTTCATCACAGTTCATCACATAATAGGGGTGCGGGTCATGCCAATTTTTTTAATTTTTTAAATATATTTAAACGAACATAACTTAAAATAAAAACATTAAATAAACATTTCATAAAATTTAAATTAAAATTTACATTGACATAATATGAAAATAATGACCAAAAGTGATAGATGGCGAAAAAAATACATGTACTCGATTGAAAAAAGAAACAATTGATTAAAAAATCGAAGATCGCCGCCTAAGTTGTCCACCGCACTTCCAAGCCACTTCTGACTTATTTTGTCCTTCATTTTCAGAATAGTTGTACGCTCTAGAGGTGGCAGATGATCATCACTCGCCATCAAAATCTCATACTCTTTGAGTACATTACATTTGCGCTATAGCCGAAGTGCCTCGTCGACAACTTTACTTTTCAGCCGAATCTTGTTCGACAGCACTTCGTTGATGCTAAGGCAGCCATGGTGGAAACGAGGTCGTCGATAGATGACTCTTGGGGTCCGGGGTCAAAATATTCTCATCCTTGTCACTCAACAACGCTGAGGTCTAACGAGCGGCGAACCCCCCGGGGCTACTATATTTCCCAAACTTTAATGTTTTGGTCCCTTTCACCTGGGAGACCTAATTCGGTACAAAATCCCACTTTGGGTGCCCAACCAATATCTCCCACACTTTCATATGTGGGAAACAACTGTTATATTGGCTTTGGTACGTGGATAATACCGTTTTTAACCTGTCATTGCCACTCACCCTACTTTGTCATGTGAAGGCCTGAAGTTGTATATACCGACGAACTTGTTGACTTTTTCATTCAAGTCGCGGTATTTGGATGAAATGGCATCACGCCGTGGTAGGGCTCCACGTTCATAATGGTGTGAAATTGAGTAGTGACCCAAGCCCAAAAGTCGTCTACATTTTGGATCGTCCCTAATTGCGAAAACAATTGTAACTTAAATTAATTGGAAAAGAACTTGTTACGAAAAGGATAAAAATTTGTAAGTAAAATTACTTGGGAAAATAACCTTTAATCGGGTCTTCAAAAAAGTTCACCCACGCCGGGGCCAACGCTTCCTCCTCCGTTGGTGTCTATGCTCACTCCGCCCCCCCGACTCGCCGACCCTTAGCTTCATGGTGCACAACCCTCCCTTTGGATTTACATGAAGGTTGCATTTTAAAAATGCTCTCAAGATTCTCAACATCATTCTCTTGGACAGGTGTCGGGTCGACTCTTCTCAGAACTTGTTGAGAATTTCCTAAAAACTGATGTTGCCACTCGAGAAATTGCAGATAAGAAGGATCCATAATATGATTTTAAAAAACATATAGAGAGATGAGAAGAATTTGTCTATGAAAGGGGTAGAAACAAAGTGTGATTTTAAAAAGGGGTGAAAGGTGTTTAAAAAATGAATTGAAAAAAATTACTTCCTCCGTCCCAATTTATAGTGCATGTTCAATATTCACAGGGTCAAACTTCAATTCATTCACTTTCTTTATCTATTTTCGTTAGCAATTTGATAAAATAAATTATTATTGTCATTTCTAGTTTTGTAGATCTTTTGATGTAGTATTTTAATATGTACATTTTATTTTTTAACTATATACCGTTTGTCATATAAAATGATTTGAAAATACTTTCAGTCAAACATTGTAAACCGAAACAGGCACTATAAATTGGGACGGAGGAAGTATATTTTAATTCAACTAGCCGTTACAACGGCTAGTTGGGGTGAGGGGGGAGCTGGCGTGATGGCCATGATGGGCATCACCACCATCACGGTCACCATAGGGGGGCGGTGTTCCACGAGTCATCACGGGGTGAGGTGGTGCCAGGTGGCTATCACGCCACTAGGAGAATTTCTTCAAGTACAAGGAAGTTTTTGGGGATGTAGATCTGGAGATCAAAGGTTGCAGCTTCAAGGGCAGTATGAAATTCGGGGACGAAGGAGGAGGAAGGGTTGGGTTCGGGACTGATAGCGAAGAATCCGAAGATGGAGACGAAGAAGAAGAAGACCAGGCAGATCTGGGTGAGAATTATAAACTTTACTAGCTTGATTCAGCTTGAGGATCCCCCATTTGGGTCCTCTCTATTTATACACGATTTTCCAGTAATTAAGGTAGTTCACAATTATGGGAGACTCATCCGCCAATGGCGCGATCCCCTTTTCCCGGCTACATCTTCGTTCCCAGCTGAGTTTCCTCCCTGATTCGGGCTCTTCCAGCTGTCTTCTTATTGGGTCAGCCCGGGGCCAACCTCTTGGGCCGACCCAGAACTGATGCACATCCACTCTATTGAGCCAACGCCATTCGGGTGTAGTATTCAGGCCGCCCGTTGGGTATCGGCCCATCATGATCCAAATTTTAAATGACTATAATTATTAAATGCAATCAATAAAAATTGATATCTTGCATTTGCTTTTTAATGTATTTGTTTATAATTTCTAACATATTGTAACTGTTCAATTTGATATTTATAATCTAATTGATTTATAATATTATCAAATTTTTTGAAAATTTTTTAGTTTTAAATTTACTTTATTTAACTACTATATATTTGTTTTTGTGTAAGGGGCTGTTTGGCAACTTCTGAATGGGTAAGTGCTGAACCAGTAAGAGATTTGAACCATTAAGAGCTAGTATATTGCTTAACTATTCAGAGGCAAATGTCTGATCAATTCAGATAAGAGGTCTTAACCATTCAGACTCTGTATAATACTTAACCATTCAGAGGCAAATCTCTTAACCATTCAGACATTTGAACCATTAAGAGGCTGAAACAAACAATCTGAACCATTAAGTGCTGAACCATTCAGACATCTGAACCATTAAGAGGCTGAAACAAACAGCCCCTAAGTGATTGCTGCATATTTTTATTTCATTATTTACTAAATACTCTTTAAATTTCATTCTGTACCATTAGCTGTACTACTCACGTGGAGTTTTTTTTTAGGGGTAGCAATGTAGTTCACAAAAAAAAATTCAAACTTCAAACTTCTTTAAATATTATATTTTGATTTAATAATCCACGGAGTATTTGTTGTTAATTGCACCTTTTTCAACATTAACATAATTAGACAATTTATTTGAAATGTTAGATAAAACCTGATCGAATTAAAAATAACTTTAATATAATTACAATGAAAACAACTTTTAATCAACCTCACCTGTGCTCAAAAAAAAAAAAAAATCAACCTCACCTTCACATTTCTCTTTTGAACCAAATATAGCATTCCTTTGAACCAAACATATCCTAAATTTCTCCTCCATCTCCACCGTTCCAGAGACAGTTAGAGAGTGAAAAGATGTTCCTTCGGCGCATCGCGCGGCCGCTCATGATGGCGGCCAAGGTGAAGGAGACGACGGGGATTGTTGGGCTAGAAGTGATGCCAAATGCTAAGGAGGTGCTTATAAATCTATACCGAAAAACTCTGGATGAGATCAAGTTTGTTCCGGAGGATGAGGGCTACCGGAAGGCCGTCGAGAGCTTCACACGCCACCGTCTCAGTGTCTGTCTAGAGGAAGATGACTGGGAATCGATCGAGAAGCGACTCGCCTGTGGTCAGGTTGAGGAGCTCGTAGAAGAGGCAAGGGATGAGCTCAAGCTCATTGGTTACATGAAAGGTCCGTACCTCAAATGCCGACACTTTCCATTGACTTATTTATGCGGAGTAATTCCAGATTTAAAAAAATTCACTCCACTGTTGTTCTCTTCCATTTGTGTATTTGCTTTTAGGTCACGTTTGTATAGGTAGATTTCATATTTTAATTCTATAATTAAAGTTCAAAATCACTCCATTAGAATTCCGATTCATGGTCTGGCAATCACTTAAAATTCAAAATTTTAGAATTGCAAATCCATATTGTGTTGCAAACCTCAAGAGTTTTAAATTTGCAAATAATTTAGGTTTTGAAGTCATTTACACTATGTCTTGTTCAAGTAAGGGAAAAGAAAAGAAAATGAGTTGGAAAATGATTTTTTTTTGGTTTGGTTAGAGGAAAAGAAAAGAAAAGTTGAAGGAAAAGAAAATGAGAAACAAAATGTACTAGAAGGAATCCTCCCATTTTGGTGAGAAAATCAATTTTTTCCTTCCGAATTCCTTGAACTAAGCATAATGTAGGAATTTTAGATTTCGAACCAATTTCTAGTTTTACAAATGAAATGCACCTATCCAATCAAACTATTGCGAATTCAAGATTAGTTTGCAGTTCATAGCTTCAACAAGGGATTAAAACAGTCAAAAATAGTTGAAACTGATCTCGGGCTTTTTATTTTGTGCTTCGAAAATTACGTACAGAGCATTAGTGTTTTAGTCTTTGATGATAACTGTGAAATTTTGGTATCATAGAACTCAAGGCAAGCATTTACAATGCTAATGTTATAACTTCTATAAAATCCAATGGTTATGGATTTTTGTGTAGTGCGTATAGCTTTTCATTCCAACTTCTAAAGCTTTGTGTTTCTAGTCTTCCATGTTAACCATGTACATGTTTAGAGTATGAAATATGAACGCTGTTTTATTGTCATCTCATTGTGTGAATGGTTCCTTATATCATAAGCTATTCAAAATGATTTTAAGGGATTTCCCAATTGGCATGCCTGTGGTTTTGACATTTCAAAATGGCAGGCAATCTTGTATTTGAAATCCCGGTGGTACCCATGTTTTTAATTTTTCCCCATCCGTGACTATTTTTGACACTTTAAGGCCATTTTAGATGTTATATAGATGATGTGACTGTTAACTTTAACATTTTCTCACTACCCTTACTGTGAAATGTCTATTCTACCCATTTTCTCACTACCCATATCGTGAATTGTCAGAAGTGGTCTTACTAATGAAAATAAAAAACATGGGGTGCCCCTGGATTTCAAAAATAAGAACGCCTACCATTTAGAAATGTCAAACCCACATTCATACCAGACAATGGCTGGCTGAGTAAACTGGCTTATACATTATAAATGCACAAACAATATTTGCTTATCATATGGAACCAGTCTCACTGTTACCACCTTCATGTGTTGGCATGAATGTAATCTCTATTTCTGGCATGGTTATGATCAGATTATGTAAAGCTTTTTAAGGATTTAGAAGATCTGAAGTATTTGAACTGCCCGTGTCCAATAAACTCCAAGTACCATACTAGCATATACTAATTGAAATCCACATGCATATGCCATATTTGTGTCTGCTTAAAATGAGTTAAATTGGCATACTTTGAATCTCAATTGTGTTCTCTTATTTTGAACCTCTTTTAACTGTTTACTTTGAGTTTAATGACTTTATTGGATGTGCCGATTTTGTAATCCAACCCTAGGTTATGTAATTTTTTACATGCGTAGCACCCATGATTACACATTTGCTATCATCCAGCTTAGAAGCCAGACAACCATACAAACGACCACACTTTATGTTTAAATAAAAGGTGTCGTGACCCTGAAACTATAAAAGAAGAGACTTAGGGATGCATGCATATATCCTGGCATGAGAAATCGTTGCCTTTTTTCCGACATAACTACATATCATCGACTCAAATAGGTTATAGGTCTTACTGGTCTTTGTGTAATTGCGTGCATGCAAATAGAGGAGACAAAATTCTTCTATGCACTCACGTTTGATCCCATATTTGACCTCAATTGCATAAACAGTCCATTATGCCCTTACATTCATTCCAACCAATTGGTCTTTAAATGCAAGGGTATATATATAATACACTTTTATGTGTTTCCGATTTAACACGGGGTTAAACATGGGTGCGTGCCAAAGCTATTCTGTAGATTTTAATCATTCCTCTCTCCTTTTTAATGTCAGCCTTCCAGGAAAGAAATCTGTTCTCAAATAACTGTCACATTGCAATATCCAAAAAGTGTTTATTGATAATTTTCCACCATTACCGTTCTCCATCATTAAATGTTACACAATACTTTAATCCATTTATAGTGTTATTTTAGCCATATATAACTACTATTACCTTGATTCTAGAAATATTTAATGTTTTTTAGTATGCGTGCCAACACCTAAAATGTCACTTAACATAAGGATGCCCTTTATGTGTGCATCAAGTTCTAGAAACGTTTCACGAAATTCTCGATTTCATGTGTTCGAACGACTTTGATCTTGTTGGCATAAAAGATCATATGTGTAATGCATGTGACTTCTTTTCTTCTATTGTCTATGCAGAGTGGAAACCGTGGGGCATTCCAGATGACCATGAATGTGAAGTGGTTGAAAACGATGCTCCAGTACCCAAACATGTACCTCTGCACCGCCCCGGTCCTCTTCCTGAGGAGTTCTATAAAACAATGGAGGCGGTTAGCACAGGCAGCACAGCCAAGGAGGTTGCGGATAAGGGTAACACTGCTGCAATCACAACTGCCGAATCACAAGAATCCAAGTAGTAATTTTTTTTTTTGTTCCAGCAACTGTGTGTGTTGATTATTATGGAGAAATTTCAAATTTCTCTGCCCCTCTATGGGCTTCTGCTCCACGCATGCATTATTCGCATTGCGTTACTTTTGACATTGTTTTTAACTGGCTATTAAATGCGTGTGACAGAACCTTGTATCTTAAGCTTTTAACAATAATGAGCCTGTTTGGGAATAGCGTCAGAGAGCAAGGACCTGCCCCTCCACGTTCTAGTTTCTAGCCATCTACTCCATATAGAAAACCATCAAAGAAGAACACCAAGCAAATCCCCTTGCAAAGGGCCAATTTCCTCTATGGAGCAACTATTTGCACAAGTAAACCCTTCTTTTCTCCTTCCTCTTCACTTGGTACCAATTTCGAGCACTTGACCTGGGAGTTGAGTTAACAACCAACCAAGCCAAAGGAAACCGGTAAGTAAACCCTAGTTTTGCTGAACTTGGCTTAGATGAAGATACAATAGGCACCAGCAATACCTCCCCACTTGAAGTTCATGGGTAGAAAAGGAAAATTTCTCCATAAACGCCAATTTTCTTGGGTGAACGCTGGGAAGGAAGAGCTTCTTGCATTTAGAGGTGAGGTAAAATAGGAGATGACGTTCTTCACCTGCGGGAAACAAAAGCAAAAATATATCCCTACACATAAGCTTTCGCGGTAGACTCCTAAAATGCGGTCACCGGACGGGTCCAATATCAACTAAAACTGTTCAAGTTTTCCTACTAAGAGTACTAAGAATTGGTCCGTCGTTTTATCCTATTTTCCTCATTGGCAGCAATTGGTTTGTGGTTCACATTCTTTCTTTTTCTTTTACATGGCCCTAGTGCCGGAAAACCTACAGTTGCCGGTGTAATAGTTCTAAGTTATTCGCCATTCAAAACACATTATTTATTTTAATAAAAAAACTCAAGTATAACATTATATTTTCGTAATCTCTGCCAACTAAACCAAGAGTATCAAATGTAGACGGATCCCTATAAAAAATGTAGACGGAGAGAGTAGTTTTAAGCTTATAAAACTTACGGAGTACTTCCTATTATTGTGTAAGACAATCTCACAAGTGTTCATGAGTAATGCAAATTACTCAAATAAGCTGAATATTCAAGGGATGTCCATTTTCATAACCACTGTTATTTCCCCTTCTCTTACAAACCCAATATAATCTCAACTTCATTAGAGCCTGATGGTAGTAGAGATGCACACAATCTTACCCCTATTAACAAAATCTGCCCAAAACTTCATATATAATGTAAGACACACAAGTGAAGTTCAATAACATTATAAAAAAAAAGGACCCTTTTTTAGCTCCATTGGCTTGCTAAATTTGAGTATGTTCAATGTGTGCTGAACTATATACCAGATTATCACTTTACCAGTAGCCATTGCACGAACAGCACCCTCCTCGGAAATGATGAAACCGATTGCGATCTCTTATGACTACTGCCCTGTTGTAGACACTAGACAGAATCCTGGCGAAATTGTGGCAGTCGACGCAAATCCGCAGGTCCTTAGCAACCCTAATTGTTGTTCCGGGTGGCATTGACAGAACCCCCAAAGCAATAGCCAACTTCTCGCTGTGATAAGACGATCCGAACCTCTCTCCTTCCACCTCTGGTGTTGTTATTTCAGCCACATACCCACCAAGTGTCAGTTGGTTCATGATCTCGTCCAACTTCTCATAAATCTCCCTTCTCATAGGGTGCGAAACATCATCTGCAACGAATTCGTGTATTTTCCCCTTTATCTCAATAGTACTGCAAGCGGGAGTTGTGTAGATTCCCTTTTCATTCATCAATTTCCTCAAGCTCGATGCCTTGTTCGTCCAATCACCCCCTAAAGAAGAATATGTGTTCAACAACAGCACATAATCTCCGGCCTCTTCTGCTTTGAGTTCAATCAAATGTTCAATGACTCTTTCACCGAGGATGGGATTGTGATGAGCCCTACAAGCTCCTAATAGTGTCCTCCACATTGTGGCATCTGGTTTGATACTCATTGATTTTACAAACTCATATGCCTCGTTGAGAAGACCTGCACGGCCCATGAGATCAACCATACACCCATAGTGATGAAGGTTGGGTGAGATTCTAAACTGCTTACTCATTCTATCAAATATCATTCGTCCCTCGTGTACAAGACCAGAGTGACTGCAAGCAGAGAGAATCCCAGTGAAAGTATGACCATCTGGTGGAATGCCGGCTCTCTGCATCTCTTCAAAAGCCTCAATGGCATCTCTACCACAGCCATTGCTTGCCAAACCCGAAATCAATGCACTCCAAGACACAACATTTTTCCTAGCCATGTTTTTGAACACCTCGTGAGCCTTATCAACACACCCACAACGTGAATACATTGTTATAAGCATGTTACATAAACGCATTGAATCCCCGTGGGCATGTTCTTTGATGTATTTATGAACTCTTTCCCCAAACTCCAACGCATTTAGCTGCGCGCAAACCTGAAGAACCAACAGACAAGTGACTTCATCTGGCTGGCACACATTTGAACTCTGCATCCTATCAAACACCTTTAAGGCATCGTGCCGGCGGCGATTTTTCATGAAGCAAGCAATCAAAGTGTTCCAGGAAACAGTGTCCTTCACAGACATTTCATTGAACACTTTGTAAGCGTCGTTGTACTTCTTGCAAGACGAGTAAAAATCCATCAAAGCGGTGAGCAAGAAAGTGTCAGACTGATGTCCATCTCTCAGAACCAGGGTGTGAATCTGCGTTCCTCCAATAAGAGACCCAATCTTCAGAATACATTTGATTACAAACGACAAAGACAAAGAGTCTGGAGATATGCCCAAAGAAAGCATTTCTTCATACAGCTCCAAGCCTTTCTTGGGAAAATTTCCCATTGCATAAGCCCTGATCATAATGTTGTACGACGACACATTCCGCCCAGGGAATTCATCGAAGATCCTCCGAGCATAACCCAGATCCTGAAATGGAGGAAAGGAAATTCGGGTCAAGAAGGCCGAGAAAACTACTGGGTTAAGGCACAGAGAAGTGCGTATGGTGCGGGCATGGAGTTGGAGCAAATGGCGAGTTTGAGTAGCGGATTTGACGAGAGAAATCAGGGTTTCCTCATTTTGGGTGATTGCCGATGAAGACGGCGAAGAAGAAGAAGAAGATTGTCGCACTGCAGCCAAGACGCAGCATACAGAGTTGATTTTCTTACGAAGAGGATCGTGAGGACGAATTGAGTTCATCATTTTCTCCTTTGCTCGTTAATTCACTCTTCATTCTTCAATATTTGAGGAGCTTTTGCAACTGGTTTTTGAATTAAATCCTGCATTTTTAAGAAGCAGAAACCCTAACCTCATTTTGGTCACTCTTTCGTCAAGCCTCGCCGGGTTTTGCCCACGTCTCCCGCCACAACTCGCCGCCCTTTATGGTGACGGTTGTTTTGGTGTGTCGTTTTTAATTTTTATTATGTGGTATGTAAGGTAAAATAAGAGTAAAATATTGATTAAAATCTAATATAGGAGTGAAAACATAAAATTTCCAAAATAAGAGTTGTTGACTCACCATTTCATCACCTCTTGCTCCGGTTATCATCGCACGTTGTCGGCATCACTAATTCCCACAGTTGTAGTGCCATGGTGCTACATGGAGAAAAAAATAATTCGTACAGTGTCAATCGAAAATAAAATGCTAAAAACGACAACATACAATGACAAACATGACATTGTAAGATACAAAAATATAAAATTTTAGGTCAATCGAAAACATAATACCAAAGATGCCAATGCACAGTGACAAAGCGTGGCTCTGCAAAATGCTAAAAGTTCAATTGTACAATGTCATGTATTAATTAAATAATTGACACTGTATGAAATTATTTTTTCGATTGAACTGTATGAATTGAACTGCATGCACAATGACAAATACTTGTACATTGTATTTTCGATTTACAAGTGTCAAGTATGAATACTTCGATTAATTCATTCAGTGTATGAATACGTATGAGTTATTGTTTCAATTGAAAAAATAATTAATTACTCCTACTTCTATGCACAGTGACAAAAAATAATTAATTACGTATGAATTAACCAATTTTTTTCGAAAATAATCAAAATACAATACACTGTATGAATACTTCTATTAATTAAGTTAATTACTCCTACTTAGAGGAGTTTAAATTTGAACTTCTACTTTGAGGATATAACACATGTTTTACTCTTATTTAGAGGATTTTTTTTATTTATGTAGCTACATGAGGATATTAACAAAAGAATGGGATAAAAAAGTTATGTTCGTTACCAAATAAGATATGAGTTTTGATATCTCCTGGTATCAGAATCTTTTTTTGAATTTTGATCTCCAAATAGAGGGTTTTGATATCTTCCAGATTTGGGAGATACCAATATGAGGGTTTGATATCGCTCTCAACCGTTGATCATTTTCCACCAGCGGCTGCCATTATCACCGCCAAATATCCGCTTATAACTAATTAAATTATGATTTTAAATCTCTTCAAACAAATTCGAATTTAAAAACTTATATCATTTCTCCTAGATTTCATGACATATACGGAGTATCTTATTATACCCCAAAATGTATCCCAAAAATTTATTCTTACATTAGGTGTTAATATAAGTTATTAAAATGTAAATGTAAATCCTTAGTGTATACTTTGGGACACACCTAACATGGTTGTTCAAAAAAGGATGAAACATATGATTTAGTTGACGATAAAACTATGATTTTAGTTGTTTAAAATGATCTATGATTGATAAGGAATGTTTAGATGATTTTTTTACGATATTTGATGGCCGGAAAGATCCCTCAATGGTTGTTGGAGAACCCTACCAAAACACAGAGTTTAGAGGTTGAAGATGATTGATATATTAGAATAAATCACCATTTACTCGAATAAATTAGATGATTTTTGGTTGAATTATTTGAATAAATCATCATTTATTCAAATTAGACTATTGTTAAGTTTATCACCCAAATAAATTATACTAGTATTTTAACCCGTGCCATGCACAGGTAGAACCAAATTGTTTTTCATTGTACAATATCAAATATTTAAATAACTTGATTTTTTTATGTTATATACCATTTAAATTTTATACATACATACATACATACATAGATACACACACACACACACATATATATATATATATGATCTGGTGAGAATGCGATCTTATGAGAGAAATAAGAATGAATCTCGTGCTTTAGATCGTGAGATCTAACGGTCAGGATTGCATCAAAATTAGGTGCACCAAAATGATTTGAAAATGCATCATGTCGAAATGCACCAAAATTCTTTGAAAATGCACTATCTCAAAATCTGAGTGCAGGATGCAATCTGAGCCGCACGATGCATTAGATCCAAAGGCTAGCTTTTATTCTTATTTCTTTCATCAAGGTGCATTCTCAGCTGAACCGGCCCCTATATATATATATATAT